GACTGTTAACCATCTACAACCGCCTGATATCAATCTCCCACTCGAGCCTAGTCCTCCTCCTCCGTCGTGGAATGATACGTGTGCCATGCTAGATGTAGGCCTTGGTCCCCAACATTATGAGGTTGAGACAAATATTAGTGTCACAAAAGTTGGGAAGAAGTGCGCAAAGCGGCTTGATAGTATTTGGGGCGCTTGGTTTTTCTTCACTTTTTACTTTAAGCCAGCTCTGAATGAGAAGTCGAAGGGTAAGATTATTCGCGAGAGTAACGGGGCATCTCGGTATGATAAATCAGACTTGAGGCAGGATGTTTTCCTTGTTCAGCATGATATGGAGAATATGTACATGTGGGTTTTCAAGGACAGGCCTGAAAATGCACTTGGCAAGATGCAATTGAGGAGTTACATGAACGGGCATTCGCGTCAGGGCGAGAGCCCCTTTCCTTTCACTGCCGATAAAGGTTTTGTTAGATCTCACAAAATGCAAAGGAAACATTACCGGGGTCTTTCCAACCCTCAGTGCCTTCACGGAATTGAAGTTGTTAAGTCGCCCAATCTTACAGGTCTCGATAAAGAGGAGCAAAAGAAGTGGATGGAGCTTACTGGCCGAGACATGAACTTTTCAATTCCTTCTGAAGCCAGTGACTTTGAGTCGTGGAGATGCCTTCCAAATACAGAATTTGAGCTTGAGCGGCATCCTCCTGCATTGAAGAGCAACTCAATTCCCCGTCCAGAAAGATTATTAAATGGCTCCGGCCTGAACCTATCTACTCGATCTTCAAACCATGTAAATGGAGAAGGATTAAACATTTTGTCTGTCTGCAATAAGAGGAAGAAAAATGGATTTTCCGGTGGAAACAATGATGATTGCTGTTTGCCTAATAGTCAACATCCAGTTAGCCCACCCTGGCTAGGAGCATTTTCCGGTGCAATGCAAATGGCATCAGGTCCAGTTACAGCTGCAAAAACTATTTATGAAGATGACACGGCGTTCTTGATACTCGTTAGCATGCCTTTTGTCGATCTAAAAAGTGTCAAAGTTACTTGGAGAAACACCATCTCTCATGGTATTGTGAAGATATCTTGTATCAGCACGGGATGTATACCTTTCATTAAAAGGCAAAATCGGACTTTCAAGCTAGCAGATCCAGCTCCCGAGCACTGCCCTTCGGGGGAATTTGTCAGAGAAATCCCTCTTAGGACTCGCATTCCAGAAGATGCTAAACTAGAAGCATATGGAGATGAGACGGGGACTATGCTTGAAATTCTCGTGCCAAAGCAGCGTGTAGGACCAGAAGAGCACGAGGTTCTAGTGTGCCTTCGCCCCTCTCCTTGGACTACACATGCGTATGTTGATTTGACAGAAGCAATGGCTTGAAATTTGTGGATTGCTCTCTTTAGGTAGTAGTCATTATTTACTGACCTCAATGAAAATGATATTTATAATTTCTTCTAATTCTTCAGGAAAGATTCTTTTGTTTCCTGTCATTAGCCAATGTGGGACACAAGATGCTGATTTTTGCATGCCCTCAATGTCCACACCATTTTGTTCCTGCTAGTTTTGATATTTTATTGGTATTAGCAATTTCATACTGTTTCATTGTCTTTCTCAATTCGTCAGTCTTGTGTTCTGTTTGAAATTTCTTCACGTTGATAATGGAGTTGGTATCTTAGGTTTGCAGTTTTGACTTAACCTTTAGATTCCAGTTGACTTAAGATTAGTAATTCCTAGATGTTCTAAGACAAGCAAGAGCTTAAGTGATGTAGAACTGTACAAGTATGATCACTCAAGAGCAAGAAACAGGAAAAAGAAAGAATGTGCAATGTGCAATTCTAGTACAAAATTTCTGATTGCTTCCACTCATGTCTGTACTTAAAATGCAGATTTGCATGTATTATAATTTTTTTCCCGTTTAACCAACAAAATAATAATGACGTCCTCTAGACAAAATGAAACAACTAACAACAATAACATATCCAGTATTATCCCACACCGTGGGGTCTGGGGAAGGTAGTGTATATGCAGACCTTACCCCTACCTTGTGAGGATAGAGAGGTTATTTCCAATAGCCTCTAGAGAGGTTGTTTCCAATAGCCCCTCGGCTCGGGAAAGTATAAGCACCACATTAATGAAAATATAGACAAGAAGGGATAGTACCAAAAAGCCATATAAAAGCAGAATAAAAACAAGACAGTAAGGTAATCAACAATGAAAGAAAACAAACGGTTAGGCATAAAAACATACTACCAACAGAAAGAGAGATTGCGTGCCAATACCACTGTTATGAACACTCTAGACTACCTACTCTACTACCCTAATCCTCGACCTCCATACCTTCCTATAAAGGGTCATGTTCTCGGTCAACTGAAGTTGTGTCATATCTTACCTAATCACCTCTCCCCAATCCCACCTCTTCTTTGGCCTACCTCTACCTCTCCATAGGCCCTCCATTGTCAACCTCTTACACCTCCTCACCGGGGCTCTTAGACAAAATGAAACAGATACGCAAATAAGAAAGGCAGAAAGTATGAGAAAATACAATGCCCTGAACTGTCTTAATTGCTTGAGCAAAATGGTATCTTTACCTAGACAGCCTACCAATTCTGTGAAGCTCAAATCAATTAGGGGAAGCTGCTTATGGATTATGCCAAATGAAAAAATATGGTTGTGCATCCTCTCCTTGAAGAGTTAAATATCTTAACGTTTTATTTTTTAAAAGACCTTTTTTACGAGCAACTCTGAAAAATCTCTACTTCTTTCATTCATTTTGCTGGTTGCAGTATCTACAATTGGTTGACAGTAGCTTACAACATTCAAAAACGTGTATACTTCACTTTTTTAGCTGTGACAAAAAAAAATAGAAACAAGTCAATATACCAAAAAAAGCGCTAAAATATGATAGAAAGTCCATTATCATCAAAACCAAATGCGCCCATTAAAACCTGTAGCTGCAGGAGCGAATCTACAGGATCAGATCATGTGAACATTACCCAAAAAACAACAGGAGAAAAGTTTGAAGCTCACAGACACACCAACAAAATATACAGACAGACAACCAAAGACCTCTAAAGCTACATTTTCTTATTGACTACTAAAACTAGATTTCAAATTAAACTGAGTGTTCTCAACTTTAATCAACTTCCTCAATCTTAGGACCTGCACCACTTGCACCAGCAGAAGGGCCATCTTCATCCATGCCACCAGCCATATCAGGACCAGCACCTTGGTACATCTTTGCAATAATGGGGTTGCATATGCTCTCAAGCTCCTTCATCTTGTCCTCAAACTCATCAGCCTCCGCTAGCTGGTTACCGTCGAGCCACGAAATCGCCTCATCAATAGCATCCTCAATCTTCTTCTTGTCATCTGGACTGAGTTTAGAACCAATCTTTTCATCCTTAATAGTGTTCCTCATGTTGTAGGCATAGTTCTCTAGCGCGTTCTTCGCCTCTACCTTCTTCTTGTGTTCCTCATCCTCCGCCTTGTACTTCTCGGCTTCTTGCACCATCTTCTCGATTTCTTCCTTCGATAGCCTACCCTTGTCATTGGTAATTGTGATCTTGTTCTTCTGTCCGGTGGTTTTATCCTCAGCAGAGACGTTCAATATACCATTCGCGTCAATATCAAAGCAGACTGTGATCTGAGGTACACCCCTAGGAGCAGGAGGTATACCGGAGAGCTCAAATTTACCCAACAAGTTGTTGTCTCTTGTTCTTGCCCTCTCACCCTCGTACACCTGAATCAAGACTCCGGGTTGGTTATCCGAATACGTAGAAAACACCTGCTCTTTCTTAGTTGGAATTGTGGTGTTTCTTGGAATCAAGACAGTCATAACACCTCCAGCAGTCTCGAGACCAAGCGAAAGCGGAGTGACATCCAACAGCAACAGGTCCTGAACTCTTTCATTTCCTTCACCACTCAAGATTGCAGCTTGAACAGCAGCACCATAGGCTACAGCTTCGTCGGGGTTGATACTCTTGCAAAGTTCCTTCCCGTTAAAGAAATCCTGCAATAATTGTTGCACCTTTGGAATTCTAGTAGAGCCACCAACAAGAACAATATCATGAACGCCGCTTTTATCCATTTTGGCATCCCGCAAACACTTTTCAACAGGCTCCATACATTTTCTGAAAAGATCCATGTTAAGCTCCTCAAACCGAGCACGAGTAATCGTCGTATAGAAATCAATGCCCTCGTAAAGAGAATCGATTTCAATAGTAGTCTGAGCCGTCGACGAGAGTGTTCTTTTAGCCCTTTCACAAGCAGTTCTAAGCCTCCTAAGAGCTCTAGGATTTCCACTGATATCCTTTTTGTGCTTCCTCTTGAATTCCTGAACGAAATGATTCACCATCCTATTATCAAAATCCTCCCCACCAAGATGCGTATCACCAGCAGTAGACTTCACTTCAAAAATCCCTTCTTCGATAGTAAGAAGTGAGACATCAAATGTACCACCACCTAAGTCAAAAATAAGCACATTCTTCTCCCCCGAACTGCCTGCTTTCTTGTCAAGCCCGTAAGCAATTGCAGCAGCAGTAGGCTCGTTGATAATACGCATAACATTGAGGCCAGAAATAATTCCAGCATCCTTAGTAGCCTGACGTTGAGAGTCGTTGAAATAAGCGGGGACAGTAACAACAGCATTCTTTATTGTTGTTCCAAGAAAGGCCTCTGCTATTTCCTTCATCTTAACAAGAACCATAGAGGAGATTTCTTCAGCAGAAAATTGCTTCTCTTCGCCTTTGTAGTTGACAACAATCATGGGCTTATCAGCAGGGCCAGGAATGACCTTAAAAGGCCACAGCTTCATGTCGCTTTGTACTGAAGGGTCACTAAATCTCCTACCAATCAATCGCTTGGCATCTGCAATTAAATAAGACGGAATTCAGCATAAACGTGCAGATATTTAACTGTTAATAGTCTGCTGTAGTTAAAAATATGTAAAAGAGTGCTACACACTAAATTAACTCAGTGACAAAGCTAAAAATACTAACGGATTAAAAAAAGAAAATACTAATACCACACCTGGGATTCGAACAACTTTCTCTATATATACACCGATAATTTATATATAATTTATATATAAATTTATATATACACGATAATTTTTTCCCCCTCCTCTACATAATTCTATAGCGGGAGATTCGTACATCGCACTGCACTTTTTATACATTTTGAGAAAGTGAATTCAATTGAACCCCTTCATTACATTAGATTCACCGCTGCGTTAACTTGTAGCGTATGAAATTCCTAAACAAAGTACTCCTTACTTTATTTTTTCAAACCTTAACTTATACTACTTACTCCAGTAACAAACTGAGGGTTCTTCAATTGTATTTTGGTGCTGGGCCATAAATATAAATTGAGGGCACATCGAAATAGACTTGTACCCAAACGTACACGTAGAGTTGCAACAACTAAGCTAAACTCAATTAGAGAAGAAGGTAGGGAAAAAAAAAAAAAAAAAAAAAAAAAAAGGAAGGCACACACTAAGTGTACTTATATAGGAAATATTTAGGGTTAACTAATACCTTGGTTGATGGAGGTTCAAGCCTAAATATTTGNGGAAAAAAAAAAAAAAAAAAAAAGGTGACAGCAAAACAAACAAATTTGAAGATCAACTCATAAGCCTTTCTAATTCCCCAAATTTTGTTATTTCTGTTTCGATCAACTTTCAATTTTTTCCAAAACAAAGTTCCCACAGGCATGCAAATCACAAGGTTAAATTAATATACGCCTCTACAACTTGCAAACCAAATTAAAATTGACATATCTTTGCTGAAAATTAACATTCATGTTATATCCAAGGTATCAATGGCAGATAATAATAAATCAAAAATACAAGAATGAAGGCCAAGGCGAGCTTACCAAATACAGTGTTAGTAGGATTCATGGCGACTTGATTCTTAGCAGCATCACCGATCAACCGTTCCGTATCAGTAAAAGCAACATAAGACGGCGTCGTTCTGTTTCCTTGATCATTCGCTATGATCTCTACACGATCATGCTGCCATACACCAACACACGAGTACGTCGTCCCTAAATCAATTCCGATCGCCGGTCCTTCACCTTTTCCGGCCATTTTTAGCTCAAAACTGAAGAATTCGAGGAAATAATCAAGTAATAATAAGCTGTTAATTTGTGGACTGTAGAGAAAATTTGTGATATGAAAATGGAGAGGATAGAAAAGTGAGAAGGGTATAAATAGTTGATTGATTGGTTCCTTTAGAGAGTCTCTAGAAGTTTCTTGATTTTACTTGAAAGCCCGCCGATTGGAAATTAAAGACGGTGCTATTGGAATTGAATTTCTTTTTGTTGGGAGAGGTGGCGAATTGAGTTTCTCTTCTCGTGAGTTCTCGAAATTTCTCTGTACTACTAGACGTGTTACGTTCATAATAATACTTGGATCAATTTTCTATCTTATTTTTCTAGGAAAATTCTGATGTGTGATATCAGTATTGGAGTAAGACTATATTCGATTCGCGCCGCACTAGCCCATTTGGGAAGAAACGCTACTTATCAAGAATTTTTATATGTTTAGGGCTCGAACCCGAAATTCATGATTAATGGAATATCAGGCTCATCTGCTGCACTTTTGGTGGTTTCTAGGAAAATCCCAGTACTATCATATCTCTTAATCAATTATTTTAGGTAAAGTAAATGATGTATTAAATCTTTGTGGTAGAGCCCCCGAAATAAGCTCAAAGGTGTCAATTGAATAACCTTATTCAAAAAAATTATGTTGTATATTTAAAAATTATACATTAATGAATAGGTCAAATATTATTTTTATATCAAATTTTGAAATTTGAATTTATTTGCTTTAGTTCTGGATTGCTGTTTTGTTCGGAGAAGTACGTAGGCACCAATTGCTTTTCTCTTTTCGTGAATTCTGGAAATTTCTGTAAGCTACTAGACGTGTTTCTTGGATTAATTCACTTTTTCTTTTTGTTTTCTAATCCTAGTTGTTTTAGGTAACGTACATGTGTTCTGAATTCTGATCATGTGAAAATTGAATTGCGTAACAACATAAACTTACGGTTATCACCGTTACTCTCACTATTAATTATTCAACTAATTGCTTATTTATTTTATTGTTTTTATTAGTTATTAATAAATTAAAAGAGAGAAAAACTTGCATGGCAAAAGTAGAAATTGACAAGTCCGAGCAAATCGATCCAGAGATATAGATGGGCTTCAGTCTCAAAACTGAGATGGGCCAAAAGCCTAAAAAGAGGAATTCTGGTTAGAAACTGACAAAACAAAAATCTATTAAATGGGGCATTCCGAGAATTGAACTCGGGACCTCTCGCACCCTAAGCGAGAATCATACCACTAGACCAAATGCCCTTGGTGTCAGTTTCCCTTTTTACAGTTATTTTAGTAATAAAACTCAAAGTTTTTTCCTATATATATATATATATATTTTTATTTTCTTTTGCTCAGAACATCATGATTCCTGATCTCTTGGAATCAACATCAGTGTTTAAAAGGTTAATTGGATAAAGAGATTCAGTAGTTTTTTTTTTTTTTTTTTTTTTTTTTTTTGTCAAGTTCAAATGAGATTTTCCTTTTCATTCTTTTAACTTTAACGGAAAAGGGTCATCAATGCCTCTAACGTATTGAAAATGACTCAAAAATACCCTTAATATTTTTTTTGGACTCAAATTTGTCCCTGAGATTAACAGACCAGTCAGGGTCAAATTTACTCTTTAAAAGATACCTGACCTGCTAACCCAGAATACATATAACCCATTTAACTAAAACCTAAAAACAAGCGACTATTCTTCAGCAAAACATAATATCCCATTATCTTTGCATAAAAAAATGTTCTTTTGTGATAGAATGTCCAAAAATTTTGTTTCCTCTCAAAGCTCAACCAATTGAGTAGATGTAATTGCGGACAAGTTATGAGTCAATTTACTGCCAAAACTTCTATTAATTTATGAAGTAATATTTTTGCCAAGAAAGTAATTATTTGCTATTGATTAAGAACTTATCTGCTATTGACATGGCCTGAAGCTTAGTTAGTGCCATTACCTGAAGCAAACTGTTGAAATACAAAGAAACAACTGAATAATACTAAAATGCTTACTACAAAACTGCTGAAATATATATAAAAAAATTGAAAAATATTAAACTGCTGAAAATCACCATAGAAGCGTCATCGCCATGACATCAAGTTCACCACAAAAGCAAAGTCATTGCCGTAACTGATTCGACACAAATATATTTTTGTTAGAATCAGTAAAACCATTGGCGTAACTGATTCATCACAAAAATAACAAAAGATAATCAGTTTACATGTCTATAAGTCTATTGATATTACATAGCATCGTCGCAACCAACAAAATAATTTAACTTCTAATTGTCCTAAAGCATGGCTCTTTTAGCTTTCAGTTTTGTAATTTTTCTTTCCTTTTCTTCTACTAATTGGTTTGAGGTCATTGTTGTTTTTCCTTCCCAAGTGATCTTACTTGGGGAATATGGAAGATCAGAAGGTAAATATACACTATTTTCATCTCCCATGAAATTGATTTTCCTGGTACCAGTAGGATTTTGCAGCAGTTGCCTTTGTTTAAGCCTAGTGTTAGCTTCAGAAATCACCTTGGGCATTAGAGTTGGATCGGATTCACACCCAATCTCTTCAACATCATAAAATTATGTGTTAGCTTCAGACTGAAAGGTCGAATCAAATTCATGTTGACTTGAGTGACTAGAAGATTGACTAGAAGACATGTTTAATCTAGGAACATGAATGATTGTGCTTTCCTTTGACAGAAGTTTCTTCATAAGACAGATTGTGCTTTCCTTTGACCTACATGATTTGAAATTTAAGTTAGGTATTTGAAATATGTTATTATGAATTTAAAATGGGAATATAAAATCATCTTACTAGTGGACATCTTCTGATGTTATGTCCTGGTGCACTACAATAATCGCATGTCATGCGAAGCCCTTTTCTTGAAGCTGGCCATCTCCCCTCCCTTTTCCTAGCCTCGTCCTTTTCTCTTGTTCTCTTCACCCTTGGTCTACCAACTATTTTTGCTAAAGGCGGTGGCTCCATGGCATGATGTGGCTTCATTTTTCAGAATTTTTTACCTCTAACAGGTTGCACCTTATGCTTATAAACCAACATATAAATCTCCTTAGAGTACCACCAACAAAACAATTACAAAATAGTTACATAATAATATTTAACTCAATTAATAAAACTGAAAATTAATGATAGATTTTCTATCACCTTGATCCTAAATCCTCCAACATCTTTATGATAGATTTTGACTTGGCTTCCAGAATCCAAGAATTAAAGGATTCTGTAAAATTGTTATCCACCATATTATTCTTGCATTTTGTGTCAAAGTACGCTCTACACCAACTTTGAGGTGGATACCACAATAGGTATTTGACAGCTTGTTCAAACAAAGAACCCAAATTCTTTAGTTGATCCTTAAAATCTTCATCATATGTGCTCCAAGCACACCACCACAACATCTTCCTCATCTCCTCGCCCCTCTTATTTTTCTTCGCCCAGTTAGCTTCAATGTGTATTACACAAAATATGTGATTTGCTTTAGGAACCACTACAGAAATAGCATCCAGCAGCCACTGCAGTAGTTAAAAAATAGAGTAGTGGAAAAGAAATTAAATTTATGAATAAGGACCTCATTTAAAACAAATAAGGAAGACATACTAGTAAAAATATACCTTTTGCATATCTGAGATAAAGGTCACCCCTTCACCGTCTTTCAAGTCCAATGAAATCTTCAGCATCTCCACAAACTAACTCCATGTCCTATTGGTTTCTTTATCCACCACCGTCCAAGCAATTGAATAGAAATGATTCATATAATCTTGTCCAACAACCACCACCAACTACCCCTTGCATTTTCCTTTTTAAATTGTGCCATCCAACCTTATAAAAGGTCTCAAACCATCTTTAAAGTCATGTTTCATAGCTTGGAAGCACACATACATCCTAAGAAATCTTCTTTTACCTTATGCCAAGGCTTTCTTGGATATATTTACCACCACATCAGAACCAACATTGCTCTCTCTCAATTCTTATGCGTGCCTCTAATCTATTATAGTCATCCAAGTAACTCCCCTCCAATTTCTCCAATACAATCCTCTTAACTCTTTTCATTTTTGACTTGCTAACATTGAGCTTGAATTCTCCTTCCAAGTCTCCCCTCATATCTTTGATCTTATACTTCGGATTATTCTGAATTTTCACTTAAAATAATGCGCTAAAGTTTTGGAATCACCTCTACATTCTGATAAACTGGATCACAATCGTGATTTTGGTTCAAAGTCTTGATCTTAAAAGTTTGGCTTTGCCCATCCTAAGAAATAAAGCACCTAAAAAGACATCTAGTATCACATTTATAGCTAAGTCTTTTTGTATCACTCTTTTTAAGCTTTAGACCCTTAGAATTAGCAACGGCATAAAACCCAATAATTCTTCTAGCACCAGGTATATCTTTAAAGGTCATGCTTTTTTCCAACTCTTTGTATATGTCTAATTTTTCATTGACTTCTTTAGTCCTTCCTTTCTAAACATCTCCAACTCCTCATTGTAATAATCACTAGATACAAGTTCATCACCTTCCTCTTCCTCAGAACTATCACAATCCGTTCCAGCAGCTATAGAGCCAATGTAAGTTTCACTATGATGAATTATACTAAGATGTACGTTCCAGTAAATATGTACCACAAATTTAAAAAAAAATAGAATCTAACAACATTTAACAAACAATACGACCACAAACGAATAAATAACCCCCAACGCTAGTTTAATAACCCTTTAAAAGCTTCAACCAACATAAAAACAATTTAAAAAAATGCATTAGAAGGACAAGTTGTAGATACCTAAAAATTTCAAACCCAAAACAAATTCATACAAAACTGTAAAAAACTTACCTTTGACTTTGGATATGAATCTTTAAGAGATTCCATGAAATTACTATGCAGATTTGCTCCAATAATTGACTTCACACACAAGAATCGAGTCTAAGCCATGAAAGAAGAAAGGAATGTTTTGCTGAAGAATAGTCGCTTGTTTTTAGGTTTTAGTTAAATGGATTATTTGTATTCTGGGTCAGCGAGTCAGGTCGGTATCTTTTAAAGGGTAAATTTGACCCTGACTGGTCTGTTAAATCTCAGGGTTAGATTTGAGCTCAAAAAATAATGTTGAGGGTATT